AAATATTGAAGATACGGGAGGCTAATGTCGAAACGATCCGTACATGTTTTCGCTTTTGCTTTTGCAGGCTGCATACGTCTCTCAGGTACACTTTTCTCTGAGGGCCCAGCATTATTGCACGGACGCATCAATTTGTGCAGACTGAGCGAAGACCCACGCGCGTAAGCGTTAACATCTAGCGTCACAAAATGTAACAATGGAGTGACAAATCAACCACTTGAGGATAAAAGAGTAAAAAAAATCATTCCAGTGATTTATCTACAACAATACAACTATTTAAGTGCAACTTAGCCTGTCAAAATATAACAAAGGATCCTACATCATTAACAAACAAGCAGCCACTAACTAGAAATCAGTACAATAGTAATATGGCTTTAACCGTTCCTTGATTTGTTGAGACGTCTAATGGTAAACAATTAACCCTTTCTCAAATACAAAACAAAGAATGAAGAATAAATGAGTTGTAAAATATAAAAATTGTCACTAAAGGTATAAATGAGGAGGTTATATGCAATATCCTTTAGTTTGCAGCCGAGAACTGTAAACACAAAATATTCATATTTGTTCCCGAAGCGTAACGCACAAACGCTTTTAACATTTGCAGGGCAGCCAATATCACATTTTTTCCTCAATTACAAACAAAAACAATAAAGTATGTGATACCAAAGGCTTTTAACTACAAAAAAGCCATCAAATAATCAATAATATCAGCAGCAAATCTGTTTTAAATATGTAAAATTAGATCGCCTACATACTGGATAATTCAATATAGGTATACGCGATCACGACAAGTTTCAATACAGTCAAAAAATATAAACATAAACATTCAGTACAAGCAAGTTCCAACATATAGACCTCCATCAGCTAGAAGAACATGGAACATCCATGGCTTTTATCTTTTTAACTGTTGCAAATTGAAATATTGATCATCTTTTATCAATGTTCATTTGTTCCAAGGGCTGGCTCACTTTGAAGTCAGCTACAGACTTGTCGAAGGTGGTCCTCACGTGCTGGCAAATGAACATCAGATTCTGGAGGGAATCCTTAAATACATCTTTTGCTGAATCACCTGCAATTGAATATCATACAGAAGAATATATATTAAGCTGAGATTTTACCCGAAACAAATATCTGCTTACATAATATAACCCAATGAGACATTGCAGAATAAGCTAAACTTCATTTAATGTCTCTTTGAGCAAGAGCCAAAGTCGCTCCTAATGGTAGTGTTATTACGATTTACGCCTATTAAAGAAATTAAAGTCATTATGGAAGGTATAACTGTGCTCCTAATAGTAGTGTTATTACACCTATTAAAGAAATAAAGGGTCATTATGGAAGGTATAACTGTGGGGGAAAAAGCCGAGCTACAAGAAAAATCCCCGCTGCTGGCATAGTATAATGAAAAGAAAGAAGGTCAAAAAAGCTGGTACTCTGATCCAAACATGTCCTTCAATACCTTCTGTACAATTGATTTGGGGAAAATTTTAGCTAAAGGCTAGAAGCTAAGAAAAAGGAAACACAGCTATAACCAAGAGCCACAAATTCATAATTAGCCTAGAAACTGGATTAACTCATGGCTATCTTCAACAGCTGAGAGCAGGCATCAGATAGAGTAAGCTAAAACGTCAACCGGAAACTTCACCAGAAACCGACACTTCAATTTCAACAAGCTCCTACATGAATATAGCCATTCCCCTGAAATCAAAATGGTTAACTAGTTTAACTAACATTGACACAGTTAAAATATAATTGAAATGGTTATGGTTTTGGGAGCAAGTGTGGGGATAATAAAAGCTTTCATAAGTTAGAAGACAGCTGAGTGATTCGTTAAGCATAAGAAGGACCATTGGATTTTTAGACCATCCTTCAGAAGCTGTACTACAGTGATACTAGATCCAGGTAACCTCGAGGAGGATAATACAAATTATCCTCATCACAAACTCCATGCCCTCAAAATAAAATCAAAATGGTAAAAGATTCAAACGATGGCATAGGTATTGAATTATGGTCTTCTTGTTATATCTTTGGATATGGAGTGCCAAGTATTACAGTATTCACCTCATCATCTAGATAACTCCACTACACTATGTTACTTTTGCTTCTTTTCACCAGTGAATACAACCAAAACTAAGTTTATGCCTGCGCCAAGTTCAAATCCCGATGCACATATAATACAAACAATTAGAGAACTATAACTCCACAAATAAAGATCTAATAAGAAGCCAGCAGCACATAGTTGATAAGCTCTTGAAAATAGACATACAGATTCTGGGCACCTTGATCAGATAAAATTCTTCTACACTGGGGGGATTTTTGTGTTGCAATCATTTCGTAGATTATGAATAAGAAATATACAGGTTGTGTTCATTTTCATAAACTGCAAATACAATAAATTCAACAATTGCATATCTACATACTGCACATTGCGCTTTCTTGAATTTAAAACTTTAATTAATAATATTTCCGGATTCCAAAACCCAAAAAGGAAATTGAGATTTGCAAAGGTGAAAAAATACACACAAGGTACCTGTAGTCTGGACCCTTATGTTGACTCGATTATCTGATGGATGAGGTATGCTATATCCACAAAATACGACTCTTGGACTGCACAAGGAAATGAAACATGCAAGCATAATATACCTTAGCAAATTTACGAGCATGACATTAATAAAAAAGCTTGTAGCACAGGAAGTAGTTACCCACAAAAAACAAAAATCCCAAAGTGTTATATCTTCGAACGAGATCAATTAGCAACAAAAATCCATTATTATCAAAATCCAATCTGAAAATCCATTCCTTATGCATACATCTATCTGTTCTTTTGGGCACCAATGCAACTCTCTGTTGTTTATTCATTGCCATAAATTGATTTTTTTTTACGTATCGAGTAAGGATATGCAATCAGCTACATAGCGATTACATCACAGATGATTCATAACTCCAAACATCACAGAAATCATCCTAAAAGACATGATTTCATCAACAGGGCTCTCTGATCAATTAATTCCTCAAAATAACAACTTAGCAAAACTTTATAACACTAAAAATTTTAATAGCCAAACTAATAGAAAATATGCCAGTTTCACATTAATATCTCAAATGTTTCCACTAAAATCAGTGTTTTAACTTTTAAATGTCAGCCGCCATGTCGGGCATGTCAGATTTAGGGGCAGCCGGGCTACACGATATGAATGCGTATTGTGTTTTCTGGGTTCATGTCGGATATATTGGGGAACATATCGGATACACCGGTCGGATATATCAAGGGGCATGTCGACTATATCGGCCGATTTTTCAGTTTGAAAAATTAGCTAATTTTTTTTGGTTATGTTTATCCATTACGTTTGGGTTTAAATTCTTGATTGTCTTAATATTGCTTCCAAAGACAAAACTCAATCAATTAGGATAAATGGAAAAAAAGACCAAAGTCACTTCCGTCGCCTCTTCTCTCTCCTTCGACAACTCATCAGTCTCTTCTCCGAGCTGTTCCCTCCACGTCAATATCGGGTGATCTTCTCTCTCCTTAACTGACAACATCGAACTCCTTTTTTCTCACCTCTTTTGTTAAATATCAACCCTAAGCATCATAAGTTATTTACTTTTTATATGTTTAGACAAAATAATTTATTAAGTATGCTTAGATTTCATTTATGATATTTATATTATACATATGCACACCATCTGATATGACAATCCGATATTTTTTCCATTATGTCCCCCAACATATCCCTGATTTCTGCTATTCGACATGAATTTTAATCGTCCGACATAAACCAACATCCAACATTTAAAACATTGACTAAAATACATCTTTCAGGAAAAGAAATACAATAGCTTTTCTACCATTTACATCCATTTCATAAAATTTCCTTAACATAATAATCGAAAATTAGCATAGAGTAGATAACTGCTTTTATATAGGGATATTGTAGAACGCCACAACCTAAATGAAGTTTTCAGGTTCTTTGCATTTTCTCACAACACCCACATCAATCTTTGGATGGTCTAATTGGTTGTTTTACCCTAAGCTATTAAGGTCATCAGCTGTTGAGACATGAAAAAAACTCATGACCACATAAATGACCCATAACTCATATGTTCATCCAATACAAAAATACCCAATTAATTTCATAAAGTTCTATATTTTTTTAAAATGCTAGGGTCATGGATCTTATTGGTTAAATTAGCTATAGAATTTATATAAACAGAATTTATATAAACTCCAATTTACAAAATAAGAAACTAAAAATAGATAATTGAAAAGAGAGATTGCTAACTCTTTATTGAGGGTATATCTGACAGAATTCGCTAGGGTGTGATCCTCATCCATTAGAGAAAATGTCGAAGCGCTTACATCAGTCAAAGATCCATGCTCCATCTTAACTGCACTTCAAAAGCAACCACAAAAAATTTTAATTAAGGAAATCAATATTCTTATTAAGATCAAAGAATCGCAAAATTCAATATCAAAACCCAATATTTTGCAAGAACAAGCTTCGACCTTTGAGTTTTACAACGCTAATCTAGTTGCTAAAATCACCAAAATCGACCAAGTACTTCAAAACTTGAAGCTGGAATTGACGAAGAAAATTTGGAAGAACGTGGAGTCCAGAGGGAGAGAGATCTTAAACCCTAGAAATCTTTTCTTTGGAGTTCATAAAACAAATAAAAAGAAGACGTTTTAGACAGCAACCCCCTACATTGCTACATTTTTTATTACGTCCTCAATTCATATGAATTACAAAAGAATTTAGGGTGCAAATGATAACAACTACTTGAAGAGAGGATAGTTCTAACACAAAAACACATTTTAAGTTGCATTTGGTAAATGAGATTTGGATTTGGGAGGTAGATCTGGAAATCAAGGGATTTGAAATCCGTGATTTGATAAATCTCTTGTTTAGATGTCTTTATTAAATGAAAGTAATTTCAAATCCAGGATTTGGATACACTTTATTATACATAAATTTGGATTTGAAATAGATATTTTAAGAAAATTTACTCTCTTTATATTCCTTCTTAAATTAAATTAAAATAGTTAATCAATTGTAAGTAGTGCTCAACAAGTGTGCCATTGGATTTAATATCAGATAACATAAAAGCATGTACCCAAACATGGTTATATGGACATATGTTCATTATTGAAGGCTAAATTCCGGGAGCATGAAATAAAACATGATTTATATATTTCAGAAAAACATAGAATTAAACCGCTAGAAACAAGAGTAAGAAAACAATCATGATATTGTCCCAATCATGCATTATCATACAAAAAAAATTAATAGTAATAAAAGGAGCTTGCTTTACCGCCGGCTCTTCTCTAGTTTTCGCAGGTAAAATCTACTCCCCCCTTCTTTCTTTGATTGAAAATTTTATAAATTTCAAAGATTTAAGAAGATAAATACCTGATAATGAGAGCTTTGAAAGAAAATCATGCTAGTTTTGAAAGAAAATCCTCCGTGTTTGAGGATTATTACTTGTTTTTTTATCTAGGTTTGACAATGGTTTCTTCTTTGAAAGATGAATACCAGAAATCCTCTAAACTTAGCATTAGTTGGAAATGGTTTATTTGTATTTTTCTTAGTATATGTTCTATCTTATATGAATTGTATACATTTTTATGTATGAAAAATAATAAATATATGTTAAAAAAAAATTCAAAAACACATAATTCCGTATAATCCGATTAATCGGCGCATAATCCGATTAATCGTGACTCGCTCTCGAACCGCACGGATAAAAAACCATGTTTTTGAACATTAATTACGTATATATTCAGATGAAACATTCATATATGGTCATGGTACCTGTCTATATTATGGAAATGCCGTATTATATATCAACTAAGCCTAGAAAACACAAATTTACATATAAATTTGGAGATGTTCAGAAATGTTAAGTCTATAAAATTTACATATTAATTTGGAGATGTTTAGAAATGTAAAGTCTATAATTGTGATAATCATATAATTTTTTAGGTAAAGTTTTTCTTTCAGTCACTCAGGTTGGAAGAAGCAGCTTGGATATTGGTAGAGAAATAACACATGAGACAATTAAGCCAACAAATTCCTATAATAGGAGAAATCTTATTTGGTTTCATATATTTCTGGTGTGCACAGCTGTGATGCCTCGACAGAATTGTTCTGTGAACACTTTACAGTTTTCAACATAATTGTTTGGAACAGAGTACTTTTCCTTCATTCTTTCCTCTTTGTTACAAACCATGGGTTTGTGTTTGATGAGACTTGTGAATATTAGGTTAAAAATAGATAGTGGTGACGATGATTGTTATTTCATAGTTATACACATTCATATGAATGTTAGGTTAAAATGGTATCGTTGTCATCTTCTTTTTCCCTTTTAGGTTAAAAATGGCAAATATAGAAAGGGATTCAAGGGTCCAACATAAACATTCAGAGAAGAATTATATAGGGGGTAGGGCAGAAGAGGAGATTACTATGTATTTTATTTAGAAGTAGAACTTTAACTTATTACAGTGTTTGCAGTGTGATAAATTTATGCGGAAAGTTTGATGGTTACTTTCAGGTTATGCAAAGCTAGCGGGCTTTCTTTCAATGACCGCTTACATCTAGAAAACATACATATCACTGTACTACACTTACATCTAGGAAACCGGTATTGCATGATACTTTAGATTTATGGATTCACTCAATAGATTGGTCGAGCGCACAAGAAGTTAAATGTGCAAAAAGTCAAATCAAATTTTACATGAATGCTTGAGTCTTTGTTCCTCATAAAAGGTGAGGAGAAAGGACAATGAAAAATATTGAGGTGTGGTACTTATTCAATCATATCCACAGGACAGGACTATAGTTACTTTTATTGCAAAGTTTTTAATGCTATATGTATATGTTTTCGTGACATGGACTAATTAATATTCATCTGAGATCTGAAGTTGGCCAGACAAGAAGACTATGAAGTATGAGAAGGGAGGATTCTGGGATATGTTTCTTTGACTTAGTTTATGTTGGGGTGTTGTCTTGGCTTGTTGGAGTAGCAAAACATATGTTTTCGAAAGTCATGATTTAGTTGGTTTATGCCTGAGATGTCATGCTTTTAAAATTTGTATGATATTTGCATTTGACTTTATTGGATCATCTTATTATGTGCATTACTTATGTGTTTATTGTACGATAATGCAGGTTTGGAACAATATCATGATTGTTTTCTTACTCTTGTTTCTAGTGGTTTAATTCTATGTTTTTCTGAAATATATAGATCATGTTTTATTACATGCTCCCAGATTTTAGCCTTCAATAATGAGCATATGTCCATATAACCATGTTTGGGTACATGCTTTTATGTTATCTAATATTAAATCCAATGACACAATTGTTGAGCACTACATACAATTGATTAGCTATTTTAATTTAATTTAAGAAGGAAGATAGAGAGAGTAAATTTTCTTAAAATACCTATTTCAAATCCAAATTTACGTATAACAAAGTGTATCCAAATCCTGGATTTGAAATTACTTTCATTTAATAAAGACATCCAAACAAGAGATTTATCAAATCACAGATTTCAAATTCTAGATTTCAAATCCCTTGATTTCCAAATCTCATTTACCAAATGCAACCTAAAACGTGTTTTTGTGTCAGAATTATCCTCTCTTCAAGAAGTTGTTATCATTTACACCCTAAATTCTTTTGTAATTCATATGAATTCAGGACGTAATAAAAAATGTAGCAATGTAGGGGGTGCTGTCTAAAACGTCTTCTTTTTATTTGTTTTATGAACCCCAAGGAAGAGATTTCTAGGGTTTAAAATCTCTCTCAATTATGTACCAAACCCCCATAAAAATTCATTATTCATAAAAAAAATCATTAAAATTTTTAGACGATCAGCCAGATCTAGGGCATCTTAACGAACATCATAGACATCCGAAATAATCATTGCGACAAACAATTGCATAAAAAGAATAAAGAGCCACCAAATGTAGGGTTCGTAATTCGTGAGATGAGATCGATCAACCAAATTTAACGAATCTAGCATGAAATTAAACATAAAAAAACCAAAAAAAAGGGAAAAAAATCGTACCTGAGATAGATCGATTGAGGGAAACCGAGGCTGGAACTGATCGACTCTATAATATATATATATATAGAGAAAAATATTAGAAGAAAAAGGGCAAATTTTTGTTTCTAAAAAGGCGACGTCGGAGAGGGAGGAGGGCGTCGTCGGAGAGGGAGGAGCGCAGGTAATTGGTCGGAGGCGGAAAGTGAAAACCCTTGGTCCCTTAGCATGACTATTTATAGATGGGGTAAAAATTGTGATAAAAAATTTGATGGGTCATATTTGCAACAACTTTAATTAATAGGATTAACATATAAAAAGTTATCTAATAGTTAATAATCAGTCGAGTCAAATATATCTTTAATTAAATTCTATTTGTTTTATAAGCCGAATACTAAAAAATATTCATTTACTATTAAACGAACCGTGGGATCGAAATATGACCGAGTATCTGGACAAATATTAACCGGATTGTCTATTAAATATTTGGTTCGCTTCCACACCCCTGTACGCGATCAAAGCAAGTTTCGATAGAGTCAAAAATTATAAACATAAACATTCAGCTAGAAAATGGATCACCTGCAATTGAAATATCACGCAGCAGAATATATATTAAGCTGAGATTTCATCCGAAACAAATGCCTGCTTACATAATATAACTCATTTGAGACATTGTAGAATAAGCTAAACTTCGTTTAATGTACCTTCGAGCAAGAGCTGGGAAATAAGAAATAAGACATTGTATCGAGGAAGATTAAGAGGCCCTAGACTCCTTTAAATATCTACTTACCCATACAATTGACACTCTGGCATAAGCAACAATGGGATAGTAAATGAACAATGTATTTACCATATTATTATTATCTTTCACCATATTTTGAAAGATCATTTGTAAAACACCAAAGGTGATATACATCTTGCAATGATGGACTTATGAATTATAATAATAATATACATAGCAAATACATTGTTTTTTTTATTACACCTTCAATTATAACCTCTTAGCAGATTGATTTGAAAATCTTAAATTGTCAGTTATCACTAGCATTTGTAGATGATCTTTCACTAATGATTATGACCCGTTGCAATCTAATTCATGACCGTCAAGAACTACTGGACTGTGCTCGGAGCGGATTGCTTTCATCTAATTTTCGTAGAAAAACATTGAGTACAGGGATAGCACTCAGTTTTCTCATCCCCAATTCCATTACAATTCTTGTCCCGTCTACACGAATAAAGAATTGGTTATTGTCTTGGTAATTAAAGGATAATTTATATATTTATTAAAAGCAAAAAAAAAAAAACAAATACACTCATAAAATCAAATCAAATCTAAATTAAGCTTTGTTCTTATTAATAAGCCATAACTAAGTTCTCCTTTTCCAGTTTCGTACCGTTTAAAAGTGCTATTGAGCTTTCTTGGAATAGATCAACAACATCATTTTCTCTCATGAATCCCATAGTGATAAAAACCTCTACACTATCGAATTTTGAAAATTTTCCTTCTTTATTTTCCCATTTTCCATATCAACACCGCGAGCGATTAAATCGATTCACTTCTCAATCACAACTGCAAAGGCCAAAAAATTAGGACAAAAATAATTTCGGATGCTTCTTCACACGTGCCATCTCCAAACATAGTACCACAATAATTATAGCATAATACCACAAAAATTATAGCATCGTAGCTCGTCACTTCGGCCAAAATGAGTAGGCATGTAGACTTCAACGATTACATGGCTCGGATCGCATTTTTGTGAGCAATCCAACTATACATATCATGAAACAGTTAAACCGAAACCGCAGCAAAAATATATCAAATTAGGACTAAACCAAATGAATAGGCATGTAGACTTCAATGAGATTCGAAAGCAACACCATAATCAGAATCCAGTCAGTAAAAAGAGAGAAATTACATGGTCTACAGGTGCACTACGTCGAATATTCCAAACATAGGTAGACAAGTCCATTACAGAACATCCAGAAATAAAGCTTCCAAACTCTACCAGCATAAATTTCACAGTATCTATGAAAACCTTCAACAACAACCTATAGCTAGAAAATGAGCTGGGTGAAGAAAATCGATAAAATCTCAAGTCCATCATCTCCGGATAGTCTTCGTCTTTCTTGCGAGAATGCTTCTAGGGGGTCATCACTGAAAGAGGGAGGAAGAGGAAAAGAGAGAGAGAGAGTTACCTGAAACAAGAAACAAGTCGACGAGCACATACCATCGAGAAATGATTAGGGTTTAGGAGGAGGGCTGCTGCTGCTGCCACTGATACTGCTGTTTCTTCCCCTTCCGGGCCTACACTCGAGAAATCCACTAGAAAAGATAAGCATAACAATGTAAAGCTTCAGGAAGGGTGTCTTCACAAGAATACGGAAAGAAATCCAACGCGTCCGTGATCAATCAATGATCATCATTTTTTCATGTACAATGACATAATTGACTCATATATTACAGTTGCATTAAACACCAAGCAATTTAACCGAAGAAGGAAAAACTGACACAAGCCACACGATCACATCCCAGAAATTTTAAGTACACTAGTTAGTAAAATAATCTAGGTATCTTTTCTGGTGCTTGTAAGCAAAATATGGGGCAAGAAATTTCTTATAATTTTTTCATATTAAACTTAGGAAAAGATAGGCTGTAACATAGACAACTTCATGCAACCGTATGGGGCAAGAAATTTCTTATAATTTTTTCATATTAAACTTAGGAAAAGATAGGCATAGACAACTTCATGCAACCGGCCTCTCATAAATTTCCTCTCCAATCACCTTTCTAAGTCCAGTCTCCCTGGAACCAGAACCAAAGGAGAAATAATAGTGAAGAAGAAACATGAGAAGCAGAAGCATTACCTTCTAGGAGGAGTTCGACTTCTTGACACTCTTCGACCTCCCTGGCAAACAAAGGTAAATATCAATTAAATACACACCTGAAGTTTCACTGCTACAGTAAAAAGGGGCTTCAAAAAAGATGGTCCTATCCAAAGATACCTTGCGGGGAGGACTAGGTGAATCAGAGAAAGATGAACTTGATCTCCCACGTCGAGGCGGTGCTCGTCCCCTGCAGAAAACATAATTTTAAAATGCTAGTTTTTAGAGCTCAAGGAACAACCTCCTCTTTTTTTAGTAAAATAGCAGCTCAATTAAAAAAAGTAAAAGACTTGTGCTATAGTTCGATATCCGCGACCATTAATAGTTTGTCCAATTTAAAGTTGAACTTCACCTTCAGATTACAAGCACCTAAATAAGCACTGACTAGTTATAATTGTTAAATGATAAAGAAAATAGATGACAAGTTTCAGGCTGTTACTATTGGAAGGATCATGAAAACTGAAATTTTGGTAGTTGTCTACCTTGAGAAGCGGCAATAAATATAGTTTATATGTAGAAGAGACAGCTTTTTTTCAACAGAGATTTTTGTATATAGTAAACTAACAAAAGCCACCACCTCTAAGAACTTAGCTCTCTTCAATCCAAGATTACATGCTACTCATTGCAGGCTCATAATATAATATACTGATTACACAAAGTAACGGAGAAACAGGATTCATGGTTTTAGCAAAATTATACAAAAAAATCTACTACAGACCTCATAGAATAAAAGTATTAATCAAGAAATTAATAGATACCAGGGTATATACCATTAAGAACAAATCCATAACCTAACAAGGAAGATATATGAGACAACTGACCAGAGTCTACTCATTTCCAATATAACTTCTTAATACTACTATGCTCATTGACTAAATATGGATCAAGTCTATTTATTTGCAAAAAGTCAAAAGAAAAATATTTACGAATTAAATAGCTCACTGTTCAAACTGATCAACCACATAATAACAAACCATAACAATGTGACCAGAGAGATGAAAGCAAATTTTGGGGACAAATTTAAATCTTAGAACTCAAGTAAGCTGTAGAAAATGACAAAAAAGTGCCAAAATCCCTAACGATTAAGTGTGCAGTTTAGCTGCTACCTGCGAGGTGACATTGATCTAGAACGGGAACGACCAAGCCTCCGAATAGGGGAGCGACTGCGACGACGAGGTGGAGGCGACCGCCTTGGTGGGCTTCTTGCTCTTCTTGGTGGTGGTGACCTAAAATAAAATAAAAATTGTATATTAAATGCATTACACTCTTATGAATTTATGTTGTCACTTTGGCACCAGTACACTAACATCAAAAAATGACTCAATAACTACAAAATGATTTATTTCTGAAAAAATGAAGTGAAATTATGAGCAGATCACCATCCTAAAAAAGAATCTTCCCTTTTCCAGCCAACCTTTTTTATCAGAAACAACTAAATCATTTGGAATACATTTCTAGTGAATAAAAGTCTTCGTGTTAATACTAATAGTTTAGTCAGTACATAAAACAAATAGGCAGGTTTTAATTTCACACAACTTCCACAAATTGTACCAAACAATTAAAAGACAGTTACTATGCTAACTGAAATTATAGTAGCATAAACATGTTGAGTCTTGGTGCTTGCTTAAAGGCTGAAATAATATATTTACATAATCCATTCCTCCAGTTAAAACTGTTACCATTAACTAATAGATACAAGTCCAACTATCCTCAGAAGAAGCTGTTTCTGCCTCAGAATTCCATCACTTTCTGCTTCTGACATGACACTTGAACTCTACAATCATGTGATGAGAACCCTATGCTTATTTACACAAGACAGCAACTAGAATAATTGGATTACCAATAAAAATACCATAAGGGTGAAAGCAGTTCTGCTTCTGCAATCTATAATGGATTTTTAATTGATGCCCTAACTAAAATACAGGAATTTCACCAGTTCACTATATAGAAAACTGGAGAAAGGTGCGTTAAAATACATTTAAAAGAGGGATGGTAAATGTCGAAACTGAACAAACACAAAATGCAAACCCATCTTCTTCTTCCAAGAAAAAAATGACCTTTTGTATCACTAAAATCTAAAAGACTCCTTACTAGTTAAATTACGCTTCAAACAATCATTTGGCAAACAAAGCATAAAGTAGTTCAGATAATTTTATCTTGGCATCTTATGCATCCAAATATATATTATATCAGAAAAAAACTATAACAGGAAGCAGTTACACAAAAGGTGGCAGAGACAAATTGTAGCATGAATTGTTCATGAAAGTAGCTGTGACAAATACATACCGACGCCTCAGAGGAAGTGGAGACCGCTTGCGTATTGGACTGCCACGCACCCTTCGTGGTGAAACCCTGAAACAGTGCAGATAGTTTCAATTGATAAAATCTCTTGGGACCGACAAGTAAAAGGCACAAGGGAAATTTAACAAACCGTGCTGGCGACCTATATCTCCGTGGAGGAGGTGATGGAGAACCTCTTCTAGCAGGTGATGGTCCCCTCCTGCGAGGTGGTGATCCGCCACGACGATATGGAGGAGAATCTGCTCGTCGACGAGCAGGAGAGATTGCACGACGAGGAGGCGGAGAATCTGGTCTGCGTCTCGGTGAGGGAGCCCTCCTTATAGGGGATCGCCTTCGAGAAGGTGATGCTGGTTTACGGCGTGGTGATGCTGAAAAAATAAAGGCAGCTTGTATAAATACGATCAACCATCAATAAGTTGACTTATATTTGCTGAAGATTCAATAGCAAAACTAGCAGGTGACATAGTACAGACTAAAGAAGTGCACATCACAAGAGCCACACATACGAATCGAGAGACTAATATTTGAAGTTAACACCTACTTTCAAATAGAATATGAGGCAAAATAGAGCAACTCAATGTAGTTCAAAAAAAACAAGGATTTTAGCAAGAAGCTTAGGCAACACATACTAAAAACTTAAAAACTGTTATCTGCAGTAGTATTATAAATATGACAAAATTAGTCATTTGAAAAATGTACAAGTAACATACGGTCCCTCGGTCGCTGCTGGGTTTCCTTTTCAACATCAATGCCAACTTTATCCCTTGGAGGGGCTTCTCTTTTTGGAGCCACAGGTACTGCCTTTGGAGGGGGAGAAACCCTTGGGCGTTGTGGTAATGTAAATTTAACTCCGACCACAGTGCCATCAATTTGACCCTGTAATTAAGTAACATAAGAATAAATTTAAAACAAACAAAAAAATTGTTCCGTGAGATTAGCACATACACCATCCATGTAAAGACGGGCTTTTTCAGCATCAGCTCTCTTCTTGAACGTGACATATCCATGCCCTAGAGGAAGATTGACCTACCATCCATAGCACAAAGATAAGTTAGCAGGTCATGCCTTAAAGTGCAATAACAAATTTCTGTCAACTTACATTTCTGTTCATTGCCAGCTCCGCATTGACAACTTCACCAAAATTATCTATAAAAGGCAGTATGTGGTTAAAAGACAACAGCGGTGACAACCATGAACAAGTACATATAACAATTGTGGAAAAGAACAGCAACTAATGAGTACATGACTTCATAGTAGAAATTGATGAGTTAACAGTAGGATTTGAGGGGGGAGGGGAGCAAGAAGTACATCAAATCAGTAGGAATTGAGGGGGGGAAGCAAGAAGTACATCAAATCAGGTCACTCACATATAGGAAAAAGAAAACACTAAATCACGATTCTGAATAAACAAAATTCAGATGAACAAAACTATTGAATTTAACACAAAGTGAGGCAATCATTAGACAACCAAGTAATCTAGGTTATCAACTCCTACGAAAGAATGAGGCAAAAAAAAAAGGACTTACTAAATATTTCTTTCAAATGTCCTTCATTGACGTTCCTAGATAGATATTCAATGCAAAGAACACCAGACTCGACAACTGGAGATTTTTTCCTGGAAAAAAAGATCAGCATCAAGTTAATGGATTCTTAATGAAGCAATAAAATCAGAAAACAGTAAAGAAAAAATTCCCACCTCGGTGGTGAAGCTCTTTTGGGTGCTGGTGATGGGGACCGAGCTCTCCTGACAGCGCCAATTGGACTGGAAGATTTTAACATTTTAGACCCTAGCCTTAAAAGGCAACATATATATACGCACCCCCCCCAAAAAAAAAAAAAACCAAAAAAACCAAAAAAATCCAACTTAATAGGGAAAAAAGTTAAATTAGAGCCGGATTGTTTAACTTCATATCTAGAAAATTTTCCCCAACTGCAACACAGTTGTGAACTAAATTTCACCGTGATCAAGTACACCAGAAGAAGGGGAGACACATGCACACAGCATGTAAGAAGTAGACTAAATGCAATGTAAATATCACAGAACGGTGTACGGTATTTATATGCATGCATATGAAAATTCTGGGTTGAAAGTCATGGTTTCAAAGAACCAAGTGGGACAAATTAGGAAAATTCGAGATATGTAGGCTCTGGATTGCATTCGGATACTACCCTCCAAATAAAAGTGCCTTCCGTTAAGATGAAATATGCTCCCAAGGAGAGAGAAGATTATTCATCAATCAGACAAATAGACCCATCATACAAATATATTAAAATGTCATTTTTAATATGTTACAGTTATATTATCATATTTTAACCATGAATATCAACTGCTACAATTCAACTAATGTGGGAGAACTATGTATCAGAACTTACAGAGAGATATAAAAATACAGAATTCGAACCAGAACTTGCATCCCACTAACAGAGACCTGTCGTTAGCTTACTATGTGACAGGGTTTTGAAGTTCAAACATGAATCAAGCCTAAACTCTCAACTTGCTCGATTCACTGTATACTGACATTGCTATATTCAAAAGCAATTACATGGACATAGACACTCACAACCATCAGACTTGTATATGACATTATAAAGTAAAGGTATTATAGTAAACACAATCTTTATAATCAATGACACTCAACTGGGGCATCTTGGAGACCACACAAGGTATGGTGACATACCTAAACTTATCCAACCAAAAAACCTGCAATTTCCAGACTTAATGCGCAAACAGAAGCTAATTCTCCACCTGATCTTTCAATTTACTTGGTTCCCAATCTTGATTACCCAATAACCAACATTACAAACCATATCAAAATCTTACATCCCTTTCATCTAGTACACCAGAACCTACGCTCAGCAAAACTATAATATTTTTAATATAAGCTCGCTTAGTGCTAAAATCTATGGCATCTAGTTCCTACTTAGCTTCAAAATACAGCCTTTTACAGCAGTTAACAAGTACCCCAAACTAACCCCGCATCAAAACCCTATTCTTTTAAAAGGAATCAAGAGATAAACCCTAAATACCTTCTTCTCTGAGGTGGAGGCGATCGGCTCCGAGAGCTCCCGCTTCGAGAAGGAGACGAAGACGAAGTGAAAGACTTGGATCGAGATCGCGAAAGAGAACGAGATCGAGAGCGAGAATCGGAGCGCGAGCTGGAGCGAGACCTCGAAGATGAGCCAGATCCGGAGACCGAAGGGCTCCGGCCTCGACCGGGCTTCGCCATGGCGGGAACTAGAAACCCTAGAACGCTTAAACCCTAGAAAATGAGCGGATTTGGGTCGCGCTCAGAACGCCGCTAGATGAATTGGGGGATAATGGGAGAAAGGATTTTATAGAGAATGGATTATTTACGAAGAACGCCCTCAGGTTTGGTAAAATTACGATACGGGTATTAGATAGAGTCGGGTGACTCAAACCCGCTGTAGAGTGGAGTGGTTTATAAAAAACTTTATAGAAAATGACAAATAGTGACAATTTTGTAAAAAGAAATTTTTTTAAGATTTCTATAAACTATGTTTGGTTCAAAAAAAATATACAGAAAAGTACCTCATTTTATAGAAATTAATTTCCGCTTGAAATATGTTGAAATCACTTAGAAATCTGACAACGATAATATTAAATTAATAAATTGACACTCGTATCCAATTTCAGCCCCCTTTGAGATTTCTCGTGCCCTAAAAATCTCGTAAAACAACTAGGGCTTTGTTCTCGTTTCCGCCTTCTTCCTCATTCATGCCCCCAACCCAACTTCCCTCCTCAATTTGGTTCGCGTCCTTCGTTCTCGTTCTCGTTTCCGCCCCCAAACCCGATAGTGATATCGTTCTCGTTCTCGTTTCCATCCCCAAACCCGATAGTGATATCGTTCTCGTTCTCGTTCTCATTCTCTTTATTGTACTCGTTCTCATCCTCCATTGCGGTGGGTTGGTTTGGGGATATATAGCTCGTCGGGCGTCTTACTGTGTGGGTTGATTAAGCAATTGGTTTGGGGATTTGAGCTGTGTTTCCATGGTTGAACTTCCGACCTATTGAGGTATAAAACAAAAACTCTAAGCCCTATTAATTTTTTGCAATTGGTTTGGGAATTTCGGAGCTCTTGCGGTTGATTTTATGATAAATCTATTTTTATCCCGAGCCCTAAGAAGTATTCATGGGTGTTGGTGTTGTTTTCTTTTGGTTTGACTTGTTTTAGAGCTAGTTTAGCTCCCTATTCTACATT